CTAGTACATGCTATGCGTCGTGCCCTCAGGGGCGCATGGTATGAGCCTGGGAAACAGGGCTCGGCTTGGTTGTCTACGTTTCTCCAGGGCAGTGGCACTCAGGACCCTCAAGTTTCGGCCTGGTCAGATCCCATATTTCAGTGGGCACTTCTCTGCTGGGACGGCTCATTACACGGCGTGCTTCAGAGGGCCTGGGCTCGGCAGATTGGGATTATCTACCGTGAAGCTAAACCTTGGGGGCATGTGGCAGGGCCTTGCGGGGCCATGTTATTAGCTATTCGTGACTTGGGATGGGTGTCTCGGTCCGCTTTCGAATGGCAAACCGATCGTGGTGACAAACTCGATCTTCGCACGGGGTCACCATTATCCGTGCGCGATTTGGCCCGAGAAGCTGCTGAACGGCGGCTTTGGCTTGATTGGGCACGTCGCCCAGATCGCGATCACGGCGCCGACTTAGATCCGAAGTCTTCGGCGGGATACTGGCTGGCACCGGTTGTGAGTGTCTTGGGCAGGACGCTGGAGGAAGAGGATCCAGAAAAACCTTACGTTCTAACGAAGCAGCAAGCAGCGACGCTACGTGCAGTGGTGACTGGGGGACTTTGGCCACCGTCACGACGGGCGAAGCACGGCTACGCCGACAATGCGATATGCCTGTGCTGCTCTGCGCCGCTTGCTGATCTTTTCCATATTCCATGGGTTTGCGATTCCAATGAAGAAGGGCGCAGACAGGTATTTGGCAACGCTGATGAGCAGGGGTGTCTTCCCGAAGTCTCTCCTTCCTCATGGTTCTGGGCCAGAGGTTTGCTCGCCAAGACAGCATTGCCATCATCACCTCCACGTGATGATAGCGCGGTTTGGCGAGTTTTATACGGAGATGCCAGCGCCGTGACAGGCGATGTATTTTCTGATGGGGCTTGCCGAAAGTATTCCTACTGGCCAGAGGCTGCTCGTGCTGGCTGGGGCTTTGCGCAGATTCGGCCCAACATGATTGACCTCGTGGTGTACGGACCGCTGCCAGGGCCGATACAGACATCGCCGCGTGCGGAGTTATTTGCAGTTGCTCAGATAGTACGCGTTGCTATTCCCCCGCTCAGGATACTCACTGATTATCTTGATTTACCGCAAGGCCTTGAGAGAGGGCCGGCTTGGGGTTGTCATCCTCGGCGTCCTAATGCAGATTTGTGGCGTGAGATTTGGCGACGTATTGAAGATCTTGGAGGCCTTTCTGACTCTCTCCAAATAGTACACGTGCCTGGACATCAGAAAGGTCAGGGATACGAAGCTCGGGGGAACAGGTGGGCCGACTTCGCGGCCTGCGAGGGCCGTGACATGCATGCCGTAACTAAAGAAGTAGCTAAGCGGGTCGAGTTGCTTTTTCGTTCGGCTGGGAAAGGCCTAATATGGCTTGCCAAGGCCCACACTAAGTTTATGGGGGCCACGGTTGCCCCAGGTGAGATTCGTTTTCGGGAGCGTCGTCGTGCTAGAGCTAAGGCTAAAGCCCGAAAAACTGACGACGCCAATATGTTTCATAAGTTTTATCCGTCAGGCAAAGGCTGGCGGTGTCCGCTGTGCGCGAAGTATGTCGCCACCTCCAAGCAGCGTCAGATATTCGCGCGTCGCCAGTGCCCTGCGAAGATATCTTTGCGCGAGCGCTTAATTGCTGCTGCTGGCTCACGCGAGCCGCCCGAAGTTCCGTCTCCACCTAACGTGTGTGAGGCCCCTGCTGGCCAGTCGCGGGAGCGGTCGGCTTCGCCTTTCAGAGACCTTCGGAGGGTTCGAGCTCGGCTGCAGGCAGACTCCTCTGAGCCAAGAGGTCGCGACTTGTCGTGTGATCGGTCGTCGCATAGTGCTGGCGAGGATCTGCCTGCCCCTGCTCCCCCTGGTCCAATATCGGGCGGGGGCGGGGACCTGTCGTCGCCGTCGCAGTCGGGGAGGGATGGGAACCTTGAACCTTCTGGAGGTGAGCCTTCCCCTTCTCAGGTGTTGAGACGAGTTCACGCTCGCATCATCGCCACCAGGACGCGGCCTCGCTCTCCCTCCCCTCCTCCGAGGATGGTCAGAGCCCGCGTTTCAGGCCCCGCGCCGTCCTCGGCCAGGGCCGTCAGTTTCGCTCCACGTGCGGACGTCCTCCCACCGGTCATCCGTGAGTTCGAGGCGCGGCCGCCTGCTGCTGCTGCGCCCTCCCTCCCCTCTCCTCAGCCTCCTCGCAGAGACCCTTCGCGGCCGCTCGGGAGGGGGCCGCCGATCAAGGCGCGGCGTCTTGGAGGGGCGGGTGGGGGCCCTGCCGCCGACCGAAGCTTTCGTCCTGCTCGCACCCTGCCCCATTCTGGAGACATCCCTCCCGAGGTGGCTAGAGGGCACGAGCTTTTTGTTGCTCCTGGGGCGGTTGTCATATGTATGACTTGTGGTGGTATTTCCACGGGCAAAGCGTCCTCTCTGGTTTCCAGTTGCCCGCCTCCGCCATATTCTAATCGTGCCGCGTCCCATATGCATCGTTTCAATACGAATCGGCACCCTGCCGACCACAAGCGACACGAATCCATATCTGGTCAGAGGCGTCTCAGAGTCGATGACCCCGAGGTTCACTGGTTGAACCACACTTAACTCGTTTGTCGGGTTTTCCTATATGAGTTCGCCATTCTTCCATGCGTGCTCTCACTGCGCTTGCGCGCCTTCCCCGCCGTGATCCCGATCTCGGGTGGGCGCTTTGGGGTGGGCGCCGTGCGAGCGCTGTGCCGAGGCCGTAGGGTCTTGTCTCGCCTTTCAGTGGCCGTTGGCGCTTCGCGCGACGGACTCCCTTCAGGCTGCGTGCTCCTCCTCCTCCTCCTCCTCCTCCTCCTCCCTCCTCCCTCCTCCCTCCTCCTCCCTCCTCGCCTCCCCATCCTGCACTCCGCGAGTCTCGTCGGCGATGGGGTCGCCAGGCGCGGCGGGGCGCCAAGGGGCGGAAAGGAAGAGACGGAGGTGACGGGGGAAGGGGGATAGGGGAAGGGGAATGGGGAAGGGTCCCGGCCTCCCCATCTGCCTTCCATGCGATCCTCGTCTCGCAATGGCGATAGATTTGACCCAGTGGCTCCCGCTAGCAGCGGGCTGGGTTCTTCATCTGCGTCCAGGCTTGGCGAGGGGCGCTCGAAGGCAGGTCAGGTGGCCAAGCAATGTGGGCATTTCGCAGAAGCATGGTGTCCAAACTTCAGCAGTGTGCAGCGCACGCTCGATTCAAATTGCCCAACGATTCTGACGAGCGCATTCGCGTAATCCCAGCAGGGTACCGTAGTAACGATATGATGGACCATTGAGTGATGAAGCGTTGATGGTGAGTCTTTTGATATTACATCAAGTGAACCAGTAGATGCATCCTTTTCAACCTGGCATCGCTCGGACGTGTTATTTCTTCTCGGCGAGGACCCTCGATAGGGGGATCGCGGACCATCCTGCGACACAAATACGCGCACGACATCGAACAAGGCACGGGGAATGGGCGTCCGAGCGATGGGGAGTCGATGAAAACAAACGGTTCGGGCAGCTGGTCGGCAGCGTCCGGGACCGTGCCGCGACCCCCTTTGGGGAGAGAGAGAGAGAGAGAGAGTGTGTGTGTGTGTATAGACATTCTTTTCTACAAGAACCCTGTGGCGAAATTACGCGTTTGTTCAGCATCTGTGACGGCCATTGAGACAAGAGGGAGACATTCGGTCAGCCCTTGTCCAGCAGCCAGCCAGTCGTTTTTTCCAGCAGTGTCTCATATGCTCATGATTATTGACTTCGCGTCCATCAACAATCATCAAGCGAGAACGGCGAGGACTCTGACAGCCATCATGGTGTCTTCGTGATGCCCTCTTGGGGTCCTCTTGAGGCTCGCTCGCGGCCCTCTTGGGGCCCTCTTGGGGCCTCTTGGGGCTACTTTGGGGAGTCTTGGAATCCTCTTGGAGGGCGCCGATTTACAGACGTGGGTTCCTCAATTCAGACCCCGCTCAAGAGCATTCAAAATCGCCTCGTGAAGTCTTTTTCGGGCCCACTTGGGGCGCTCCTGGGCGGTCGTGGGGCCGTCTTGGTGGCCTCTTGACCTTCTCTTGGGGCTCTCTTGGGCCATCTTGGGGACGCGTTGGGATTTACAAAACCCATGAGAAACAAAAGGCGAGAAGACACAAATCATGGATGCTCATTCGGTGTTTGAAGGCGTTCGGCGGTTCTTTGGGAGGCTCCGAAGGCACTTGGAATCGTTTTGTGGCTCCCTTGGAGCCTCTTGGAGGCATGTCGGAAGCTATCATCTTCGGTTATCTTGAGCCATCCTGGGGGCCATTTTGGAGCATCGGAGGGCTTGTTTGGAGCCACTTGGGTGAAAACGGATCCCCTGACACATCGCGGGGGGGGGAACTTAAAAACATCAGGGAGGGGAGGGGGAGGGCATTCCTCCCCGAATGGAAGAGGGTTTGGAAAGAGGAACGACGCAGATCGTAAGACCACCGCATTGCATCCAGAGGATTGCTGGGATTCTTCTCTTACGCGTCTCAGCCTTCTTCTGATGTCTCTGTATCAAGTCGTCCCTTCCTCGGCCCCATTGCCGATTCTCCTCTCCGCTTCGCTTTATCCACTCCACTTCAAGTAGTTCGCTTTCCCAGTAGCCTGTTGCTCATCCTTTTCAGTCCAGCCCTGCTGTGCCTTTGAGGGCGTCGGGAGGAAGTTCCGCTTGTCATCAGCGTATTTCTGTATGCTGCATACCTTCGATGTCATGCCCAGCGCGGCGCAGTCATTCTCACCTTGTCGTTGCTTGCCCAGCCTCTGCGCCGACTCATTCCCTCGGGGTTCCAGAGGGCAAGGGGGGGGGGGAGGTGGCGAGAAGGGATGGAGGAGGATCGGAGAGAGGCTCGTCGGGGAGGAGAGGCAAAAATAGGAGGGCAGTGGACGGGGTGGGAAAGAGCGATGCCGTGTATATCGTTGGCCTGCCACTGCGGGTGAGGGTGCCCGCCCGTCTCTGCGTCGACAGGCCCCCGGAGAGAATCCTCCCCATGCAGACGATAGGCCTGCCGACGATGCGTCGCAGGAGGGCTCCCCCACGGCGCGGAGGGGAGGAGGAGGACGAGAAGAGGGGGAGCAGGGCGGCAGCCGGAGCAGCACGCATCGGAAGGAGCGGCGAGGAGAGAGGAGAGGCCCCGGTGGCTCGCTCGGCTGCTGTCCCTCCGTCGTTGTGTCCGCCCTCTGTCCCTCGCCCGCTCGTCCTCTTCGGGCCCTCGTTCGGTCCTGTACTGCCTGGGAGCGAGCGCTTGACTCCAACCCAAAAGTCCAAGACAGAGTGGGAGAGGAGAGGGGGACAGGGAGGGTGTAGGGGAAAGGGGAGCGCGGCCGGGAGGGGCAGGGCCCGGAGAGGGTGCGAAGGATCCGGCGGTGGGACTGACACAGGGTGCAGCAGCAGCAGGAGCAGAAGCACCACGCACGGTCAATCGGATCAGCATTTCAGCAGCGGCAGTCAAGGCACCCTGACTCCGGATCCGCCCTACTTTGGGGAAATTCGTAAGTAGGGCTCGGAATCTCCGCCTTATTTTTCAAGCCCCGCTGATGCCAATTTCCGCCCTACTTCTCTGTCGCTGTTTCCGCCCTACTCCTGTGGATTTCCGCCCTGCTTTGTGCTGGGTGCAGAAATGTCCGCCCTACTTCTTCGGCTTCTCATAGGTGGATTTCCGACGCCATGCTCAGTTGGAACAAAGAGCCAAAGCAGGGCGGATCTGGAGTCGGGGCGGGGTGGGGTGAGGGGGAAGGCTTCTTGGAAGCACCCTTGCGTCTCAGGAGGCGCGGGCCTTCTCCGTGCATGTGAGGCCAGCGCCTTCTGAGGAGCAGCCCCCTTCCAAGAAGCCTTCCCCCCCTCCCCGGCGGATGTGGAGTCAGGGCGGGGTGGCCGGGAGGTGCGCGGCGGAGCCGAAGAGGGCGAGCTTGCTGCTCGCTGTGAGATCGCGCGCGTGCTCTCCGCGCCTCGGCGGTGCCGCCACACGCCGCCGCCGGCCCGAGGGGGCCGCCGGGGGCGCCGCCGGGGCCGCCGTCTGTCGGGAGGCCCCCCCGCGGCGCCCGTCGGCTCGGCCCTCCTCCCTCCCCCAGCCCCGGCCCGCTCCTTCTCACTCCTCTCCTCTCGCTTCTCTCTCTTCTCTTCTCCTCTCCTCTCCTCTCCTCTCCTCTCCTCTCCTCTCCTCTCTCCTCTCCTCTCGCCCCTCTCCTCTCCATCCTGCTGCGCTCCTCTCTTCTCTCTCCTCTCCTCTCCTCCTCTCCTCTCACCTCCTGCTGCGCTCCTCTCTCCTCTCTTCTCACCTCTCTGCCCGCCCCCGCCGACCTCGTCCTCCGTCCACTCCTCCTCTCCTGGGGGCGAGGGGCCGCCGGCCCTGCGGAGGCGGGGAGGGGGCCTCCCAGAATGGGGAAAAACACACAGACACAATGAATCGCCGATCCCCCGGAGAATATGGAAAAATATGGGAAGTGGGGGGAAGACAAAAACTTAGAACATATGGGGCAATATGGGGAATCCTTTCATTTGTGTGTATTGATTTGTGTGCCTCAGGGCCCCTCCAGCCTCACCTCCCCCTCAGCGCATGCGGCCCCGCAGACCTTGCGCGCGCGCGTGCGGCGATGCCGGCCCGGGGCGGTGGGTCCTCCCAGGCGCGGCCCTCGGCAGCGCGGCCCCTCCGACCACGCCCTCCCTCCACTGGAGGTGGAGGGAGGCGTGAGGCGTGAGGCGTGAGGCGTGAGGAGGAGGAGGAGGAGGAGGAGGAGGAGGAGGAGGAGGAGGAGAAGAAGGATGCATGACCAGAGTACCCAGGAAGGAGGAGGAGGAGGAGGAGGAGGAGGAGGAGGAGGAGGAGGAGGAGGAGGATGCCCCAGAGTAGGCCCGAGAGGTGCATCAGCGGTGCGGATCTGCCAGGAAGTGTCCCCGCAGCGCAGAAATCCCTTCCCCGCGAGTCCCTGCACGTGTCCCTTCCCACTGCGGGGAGGCGCCCTCCTCGAGCGACGAGCGCCCGGTGGGCCTGCCTGCCCCCTCCTCCACCTCCTCCACCTCCTTCTTTCTCCTCCTCCCCTCCTCTCCACCTCCTTCTCCTCCTCCTCTCCTCCCCTCCTCCTTCTCCTCCTCCTCCTCCTGGGTCTACTCTGGTCATGCATCCTTCTTCTCTCCTCCTCCTCCCCTCCTCCTCCCTCCTCCTCCTCCGCCTCCTCCTCCTCCTCCTCCACCTCCTCCTCCTCCTCCACCTCCTCCTCCTCCTCCACCTCCTCCTCCTCTCTCCTCCCTCCTCCTCCTCCTCCTCCTCCTCCTCCTCCTCCTCCTCCTCCTCCTCCTCCTCCTCCTCCTCCTCCTCCTCCTCCTCCTCCCTCCTCCTCCTCCTCCTCCTCCTCCTCCTCCTCCTCCTCCTCCCCCTCCCCCTCCCCCTCCCGAGTCCCTCCTCCAGTCTCGAGCGATGCCCCTGGTTTGAGCAGGAGCCGTCATCCACGGTCGTGCGCAGTTGCTGCGCAGTGTGGGGCATCGGATGATAGGCCCTGAGGGCCACATCCAGACGAGGAGCCGGCCTCCATGTTTGAATCCTTTCGAGACGTGTGATGATGCCGTGCGCGGCTCTAGGGCGAGGGCCGCATCTTGAAGGTCACTCCCTCTCATTCGTGTAGCTGCTGGATTTGTTCTGGGCGAGCGTGTGCGGCTCTCAGACGAGAGCTTCACTACGTAAATGAAGAACGACTCAGCCCTGATCCTTGTATGCGTTGAGAACTGGTGATGCGAAAATGCGCTGCACGAGCGAGAGCCGCATTTTGAAGATCGCCAGCTCTCCATCCCAGTAACTGTTGGAAGCTGTGGGAACGACTGCGCGCGGCGCTGAGGCGGGAGAAGCATTTTGGAAGCCACGGGCTCTCCAGACTTTAAATGTTGGAGCCTTTTAATGTGAGTTCAGGGTAATCTGTCGTAACGAAGTCTTCAGCGAAGCGCCTGCCCCAGCCCACGGACGCGTCTGGTGGAGCGACGAGAGGGGAGTTGTCTCAAGCGATAGGGATGGAGGAGGGAGGAGGAAGGAGGGGGGCCTCTGCCCCCGTTCCTGCGCAGGCGTATTTTTTGTCACTCCCTCGCCCATTCCTCCCTCTTTCCCCTTCCCCGCTTCGTCCCTGCTGCGTTTGCCTATCGCGCGCGCGTGCTCAACTCGATCGCAGAGCCTTGCGTCGTGTCTTGTCACGGGTGCTGGGAAGTGGTACCAGAGAGAGAGAGAGAGAGAAAGAGAACGGAGCAGGACGACGAAGGATCGCGGCTGGCTAGAATGGCGGGTAGAAGAGAGCGGTGCAAGGACGGATGGCGGCCGAGCAGGGGAAAAGGAGGAGGAGGACGAGGAGGAGTAGGAGGAGTGGGGAGGAGGAGGAGGAGGAGGAGGAGGAGAAGGAGGAGGAGGAGGTTGCACCTCTGGGCGACCCGCTTTGCATTGGCTCCTGCCGAGCGATCTTGCCGCGCCCCAGCGGCACGGGCACAAGGTAATTGATCCTCGTCTGGGTACGGGTTTACCATACAGTGCCGTTTTTGTCTGTACATGCTCCGCGTGCGGATCATGTATATAAAACATGCAGGGACTTAGTATCAATAACAACGATGAGTTCATGCATAAACTTATTCTGACACTAACCATGCATTAAAATCCTATATGTTTAAAAATCCTATGTATCAGCAACTGCCCTGTACTTCCGAAATGAGGGGGAATTCCAAACAGAGAAAACACGTGCTTGCCCTCCGGGTGGTGTCGTCGTCGACTGCTCCTCCGCCGTCCGACGTCGCTCCTCTGCCTGCTCTTGCTCCTGCTCTCGCTCCTCGGGCCGTCGCCTGGAATCTCGCCCTCCTCCCCTCCTCTCGGGCGCCGCCCGCCGTCGCCCGCTCTCCTCAAGCTAAGGTAAAACTAAGCTAAAAGCTAGGTACAGCTAAGGTACAGCTAAGCTAAAACTAAGCCAAAGCTAAGGTAAAGCTAAGGTAAAGCTAAGCTAAATCTAAGATAAAGCTAAGGTAACCCATTGCTCTGGGCTCGTCCCGGTTCCCGGATGTCGCTCCTGCCTTTTGACCCGTGTTGCCGTTGCTCTTGCGGTTCGTCCACCACGCGGGCCTCCTGACGGGGTGGGACACGAGCGAGCTGATTTCTACACC